TTTCAGCTTTCGAATCTCTCTATCGGGAAACGTTACTTCGCCGCGTCGTAAGTTTAAGGCAGCTTTAAACACGAGAAAGAGAAAGAGAGAGAGAATGTACGCGCGCGCGTGTGTGTCTGCGTGTGTTTGGTTTTTTTTTTAATTTCATTCCACGTACCGCGCGATAGAGACGAAGAGAACGCAGTAATGCCTCGCTTCTTGCACAGAGTCCGTGTTACGGATACTTGCAACATAGCACACCACTATTTATGTTACTTCGAACAGAGTCCCGAAGTTAGTTGCAAGAAGAGGGGCAATAGTGTCACGGAGAGAAACGGTACGATTCGCAAGGCCTTCACGCTGAATTTTCGATACGTTAACAGGCAACGTGGAAGACTCGGGCATTCTACCGAACGCCTAGGCTTGGAAGTAACTTCGCGTGTATGCGACCAGTCGGGATAAAACGCGCGGGACGCTGAAAACTGAACGCGTTTAGATCGTGGAGAGAAGGAGACGGAGAACACGAGGCGACCGATAAACGCTCCACGCCGCGAAAAACGACATTGGAAACGGAGACCTGCGTGAAATAACAGTGGAAATTCTACGTTCGTTCGACACGACACGCGACAGATTCGTTTTTCTACCCGTTGAACATAAACACAGATGCGCATCGACGATCGTCGAACTTTTCGGACCTTCGCGACCGTGAGTTTTGGGAACTCGGGTCACGCACGATACTTTTTTTGGACTACGAAAGACCCAGATGGGGGTCCTAGAACAGCCTTCCTCGAAACAACAAAATCGACAAATGTAAACCACCAATGCGGGGAACATCGTGGACTGCCTCGATCGCGAGACGCCAGTTTCTTAAAAATACGCGAAGCTTCATCGTGCAATCTGTTGAATTTTTATTTCTCATAGTTTTTAACGTTGTTACTATAATTGTGATTAAGAACGCCACGAGCGATAAAGGACGAAACGGTCTTCCAACCAACGCCGTGAGCCAAAGACGGTAAAGATCTATCGACATAGCTGGTTTATGTGGTTCGTTCGTGATACCTTCGGGGAACACTGTTCTAGAAGATGCCTGGTGCGTCCCGACGACCGGATATACCCCGTTCGCAGAAGCGTTAACGACGAACGGATCGATGTCACAAGTATATATATTTTTTTATTACGCTCGAAGTGCAATCTCGAATCGCGGGCGATGGTTTCCAGTGACGTTTCGTCGAATGTCATTCCGTATATTGCCTCGATTCCCTACCTTGCCTGCAATAAACGCACTATTATAAATAATGAGACGAACAGTGGGGAGACAGAGAGAGAAAGAGAGAGAGAGAGAGAGAGCGTGTGTGTGTGTGTGTGTGCATGTACGAGCGTAAACGGGAGAGAGTTTGAACCTAGCTTGTAAGATTTAAACTGCGAAAAATAAAAAATGAATAAAGAAAAAAAAATAATGAATTTTGAAGCATTACGAACAAGACGTGAAAACGGTGTAGAGAAATGGAAAAGGAGAATACCGAGAAGATCGTGTAAATACCGCTGAAAGTAGATATGATCGAAAGGAAACAAAGCGACTAAACCGCCTCGACAACAAAACAACAAGCAATATTTAGTTCTTACCATCTCGTAATAATTAAACGATAACTCCAACTCTGTACTGTACACGCGTGTAAGCGCTCGTAACGTATTTAAACGACTATAAATTAAATGTTAATTATCCTTACACTTCGTATATAGTAAAATTGTTACGCATTTATTATCATTACAATTATTGAATAGGTAATGCTCAATTAGCATTTGTTTCTTAAAATAAAGAATAAATATATGGCTGTTGGATATTTATATTGCACATATCACTACCTATCATTCGCACCTGCCCCTTAGACGTAAGACGCGGTTACACGCGTTAAAGAAATCCGAAGTAGAGCCGGGACTATTCGTATTTATTAATATTCGAATATTTTAGAGGCATTGGAACACTACGGATATACCTCGAATATCTGAATTTTCAAATACCATTGCTACAATATTTAAGTATAGAGTATATTAAATTTTTTAACCAGTTTTAAGGGGACTACAATCTTCCTCGTCTTGATATCTTTAATTTCGCGAAATCTCAATTGCAACGATTTATCAAAATGTTTTTTTATCGAGATCGTGTCGTTGGAAATGTTCAACTCGATTCCTGTATGACACATTGCTTACGCTATCATACGAGAGGACTGACCTTGGTGTATTATTACGACTTCGTTTTTCAAACCATTCTCATAACGTAGCGAATACTACTGCGAAAAGTCTACGTTTCCTCGGTAATAATTGATTTTAAATTACAAAACTAAAAAAATGACGTACATACGTGGGGAAAAAAATACTAAATTTCATTACGTTCGGCCACCCTTGGGGAAAATTTTAATGGAGGATTCTAGAGGCCAAAATAAGACGAAAATCAAGAATACCAATTTGTTGATGGAGGCTTTGTTAAAAAGTTATTAACCATTAAAGTTCCGCTCATACTGAATCTTTTTCTCGAAAATGCGCAAGATTTCAGGGCTATGTCTAATCACCAAAAATTATTGTAATTGACCCACGCAACCGAAAATAATTTTTTCAAAACAATTTGAAATTTCTATTCCGTCGAAAAATTTCACACCTTCTCGAATTTTTTTCTAGAAAACGAGTAGGAATTCGGGGGCATGTGTAATGACCAAAAATGATTGTAATTTACCCCCGCAACCGAGAATAATTTTTCCAAAACAATTTGAAATCTTTTTTTTCCGTCGAAAAATTTCACACCTTCTCGAATTTTTTTCTAGAAAACGGGTAGGAATTCGGGGGTATGTGTAATAACCAAAAATGATTATAATTGACCCCGCAAACGAAAATAATTTTTCCAGAACGATTTGAAATTTTTTTTGTCCGTCGAAAAATTTCACACCTTCTCGAATTTTTTTCTAGAAAATGGGTAGAATTTCGGGGGTATGTCTATTCACCAAAAATGATTGTAATTGACCACCGCAACCGAGAATAATTTTTTTAAAACGATTTGAAATTTTTTTTTCCGGCGAGAAATTTCACGCCTTCTCGAATTTTTTTCTAGAAAGTGGTTACGATTTCGGGGGTATGTCTATTCACCAAAAATTATTGTAATTGACCCCCGCAACCGAAAATAATTTTTCCAAAACGATTTGAAATCTTTTTTTCCCCGTAGAAAAATGTCACACCTTCTCGAATTTTTTTCTAGAAAACGAATAGGAATTCGGGAGTATGTGTAATGACCAAAAATAATTGTAATTGACCCCCGTAACCGAAAATAATTTTTCCAGAACGATTTGAAATTTTTGAATTTAATTGTTAATAACTTTTTAACGAAGCCTCCATCAACAAATTGGTATTCTTGATTTTCGTCTTATTCTGGTCTCTAGAATCCCCCATTAAAATTTTTATGCAATCTATTTGATTATTATGCCAGTGATAACCGAGAGAAAACTAACGTCGAAGATCTATAAATATTATGATCGTCGAGATAGTTGACCAATGCAAAAAATATTCGAATCAGACAAGCAGTCCCAACCCTGATTGAAAACAAACGCGAAAGACGGATCCTCCTATCAGGAAGGAAGTCCAAGGATATGTTTCAACTCATAAGGCGAGGTATATCGTTTTCATCCTTTTATTGTAAATTGATCTACAGTCACCATATCCTGGTTCATCGTCGTTTACATCTTCATCGTTTATAAATAGGAAAAAAATGTTACAGCAGCACTATTGCTCAATTAACATAGTGTGTGTATTGTTTGTGTTACGCGTGTCTGCACATATAACTCTGTTCGTTTCACGCAAACATCAACGTTCGTAATCGTAAAAGTTTTTTTTTTTTCGTGTCATTTCTTTATTTTGTTTTCGTTCTTATTATTTTGTTTTATTTTTTTTTTGTCGTTTTCATTTTTTGTTTAAATCACTTGTTTCGTCAGACCGAATGCCTGTCCAATTTCTTATTTTATAATTAAAACGATTACACGTAGCTTCTTCATAGTCACAGAACATACTCTGTCACGGCGTCATCGGATCGCAAAATGTTCGCGTTCCGCGTTTTTTGTGGGTTGTTGTCACGGAGCGAAACGGGCTTTAGGGGGAAAAGCTACCTAACTTACGAAAGTAACACTGCCACTTGCATCGTCATCCCCGTGTACACACGCTGAGGATAATATACATTCCTATATTAATTAGAAAAATAATACAGATTTTGCCTTGTTAATGGAAACAATTAGCTATACGTAATGTACCACATGATTTATGCGGGTATGGACATTCGTGTGTGTTGTCACAGCTAACCAAGTCCCTGAAAACAATTTCAAGAAAAGTCTTTCATCTCCCGGAAACATTACACGTTCCATTTTCTTATATTTGAAACGACATTACTCGGAGCTCGCGATGCGAACGTACGCCAAACGCAACGTGACCGATAAGAACACGGCAGATTTCGTATCCAAACGATAAGGGCAAAGTAAAAAGCTGTTGGATAGGACACGTTCGCGATAACAGTAATCCCGGAATAGGAAAGATTAACGTTTACGTTGTTATCAATTCCTTTCGAGCGCACAATTTTAGTCGTAACGCGAGGGCGAACGAAAACTCGATTCTCCGCTGTCGATGTCGTGAAATCGGCTCCGAATAGATGTATGTCTTTGTATGAAAATATATGAACGAGGTAGCGAAAATAATACATTCTTGCACGCATACTTGGAGAACGATAAATCACAACGAAAAACACAAAAAAAAAAAATAAAATATATGGAATCCTTTCTCGTAACGTGATTGGCCCTTAACGGAAACGAAACGTTAAGAAGCCAAGAACACTGAATCACAAATAAGCCACCATTCCAAACGCTAAATATAATCAATGATACAACGATTTATTATTTTAAGATATGTCGTGTCGACGGATTAAAACGTAAATGTAAAATATTCTCGTTCGGACGTTAATGGATGTAGAATAATTAAGTTGTGAATTGTCCTACCTTATCAAGGTACAGGACTGTCTGTTCCGCTTCCGCTGTTGGTCCCAGCTTCCGTTTTCGTGGCAGCCAGTCTGTCGCCCCGTCTGGAACTCTTCGACAATGAAGCAACTTCTTTTAATAATGTGGAGATCTTGAGTTGCATAGTCGATACCTTATTTTCGTACTCCTTCTCCGTTGTTTTCATTTTGTTGCGCAGTTCCGCTTCCGACGTGAAGTTTTTCGCCTTCAGTTCTGTAATCTGCGAACAGAAACGGTCATACCTGAATCGTCGACGCTACCGATTATCGCAAGACTATTCCCAATGGACGCCAACATTCTTTCACTTCCATTCTAACCTATAAGATCTTGCGCGACTCACAGTCTGAATCATCGCCGGTCGAATTTGGTGATGTTTTGCAAAGCGACGAGCAGCTTACCTGTCTATCCTTAGCAAGTAATTGCCCATCCTTAATCGTGATCTGTTTTTGAAGGTGGGCTATTTTCTCTTTAAGTTGCGTAACCGCCACCACATGATCCGAACTATTTGGATCGTGCGGATCGTGCACGCCAACCATCCTTGCCGCTTTCACTGGAGCAGGGCCATTCGTCTCCGGACCTTCCGACTGTGGCGGTAATTTCGTAACGTCCACTCTGTGCGGTCTTTTATTGTGACCTTTTAATCTGAAAGAAAGCGTACAGTATGAACGCGACATTCGCGTATGAGTAATGCGCGTTAAACTTTACCCGAACGTCTTACATGGAAGAGATACTGAAATAATGATGAATACAATTAAGACTACTGAGCACAAAGTTACCTTGTGTCATTATGTATTTGTATAATTACTTTTGTTCTTTGTGTTTCGCCGCCCGTTGTTGCGCCAGTTTCAAATGCGCCCTCCTCTCAGCGTCTGACTGTTTCGTTTTCGCCAATGCTCGTTTGTAGGACAGCGTACACAGCCAACATAATAATTTTCCATCGACCTTCAACCGAAACATCAACAGATCGATTAGCATTAAACGGTACGATCGAGTAGCAACTTATCGCGTAGAGTATTACCTTTTTGTCTTCGTCTTGTCTGTCAAAGGCACACTTCTGTTTGCATTGTTCGCAAGTGACTGGTGGTCCATAACGTTTCTCCGAATTTGTACATCGTTGACACTTGCTACCAATAAACGCAGCTATGGTATTGCAATACTCACAGGCTGACGGCTTACCATAGGACTTCACATTCTGCTCACACTTTTTACATATCGTACTAGTATTACCCTTTCTGCAAAATAGAAACCATAATTATTCTGCTTAAATGTAAGGAGGAAATCGTAATATAAAGCATTATTTAGTGGGGTGCTTACATTGTTTGCTGGAATTCTGACCTACAATACGTACATTTCACCACAGGGAATGCACCTCTGCACTCCTAAATAAGCAACACAATGTGGTAAAAGTTTGTGAGGGGGAAAAAAATCGTAAACAATTATAAAAATTTGTGACGTACACGTTTTAACATTTAACCAATTTCTATATCCACACATTACTCGTGCTATCGCATAAAATGCACAACAGTGTAAGAAGTTGTTCGTTGCGACTTGAAAGAAAACTCGTGTGTATCAAAAATTCCAAACAAAACCTTCTGAAAGGATACTTATCTCTCTCGTCGAAACAAACATCGTGCACAACCAATTCTGGAAGTTTGATCGTGAAAGGATCGTGTGTTCGTACGTGATGATAGATCTTATAAACAACTGATTCGTTTAGAGACTCGTCGTGGTGTCGGTGCGTGAAACGCGCGTTTGAATTGAATGTTCTATTATTAGCCTTCTGTCTCGTAAACGTGAAAAGTGACGCTCGAAAAGAATCGGTCGTAGCGCGGAGCAGAATTCGGAGGGGAATCACGCGAAAATCCGTGATAACGTTACCTTGCACAACTGCTGTCCTGGGGAAAGCTCCTCGAACGGATGCCTCGAAAAACATCTGGAACACGCGAAGAGTGCCTGTACATTGTTCGCGCTCATCCTCGTGCGTCGATTTGTGTTTGGCCTCGGTGTTCCGTAAAACCGTACGTCACCGACGATAAAACCTGATTCGTAAACGGAACGACGGGATCGTAACGACGTTTTCGCTTTTCACTGCTTGCCGTAGAACAAAAATAAACGTAAAATTCAACGGCGACTGCACCCGCGAAAACGGCTCCTTACATGTTTCAAAATGTTCTCCGCGTTCGACGCGATTGTTTTGCGTACATAACCGCGTCACTTCGCTCGCTCGGTGCACCGGTTGTTGATTTCAGACGGCCATCTGTGACTTCTTAAGAGAGAAACGTTTTCGCCAAGTTCGCGACACCGACCAGATGTCGCCCCGGTACGCCACGCGCATCCCCGACGAAACAAGCTACAAACCAATCGTCATTTTTCGTACCAAAAGGATCGCACGACAATTGGTTAAATCGTTCTTTCGACCACGGTATGCGAGCGTTCGTAATATTTGTCCTCTTTGACCTTTCTTCGTTGGTAACGACCAATCGGTGTGTTTCATTCAGTACTCGTTCATAGAAAACTATAGACTCGTCCGGTCGTGTGCGAAGGTGCACGCGTCTTGTATTTCCGTATCTTTTTAAACGCTCGTCGAACGTAAATATAACCTAAAACTGCGTCAACGTGGCTCAATGCGATGTAAACATGCTCGATTTAATTAAAAGCTGAAGCGTAACGCGTGTAAAGGGGAAACTAAGGTAACGGCTGGAAAATGCGTCGCGCGAAGGGCTTTCGTGAACGAATGCGTGAAAAGAAACGAGCCTTGTATGTTCATTTACCGCACGTAATACGGGACGAGAAGGACGTGGCGAAATTATTTACCGGTGACTTCAAAGTGAACCTCACGCGACAGGCTAGCAAATATTGCTACGTGATATTTGCCGATGTCGAGGAAAAAATGAAAAATTTGAAAGCTGCGAAAAACACGCTGATAAATGGGAAACGCGTAGTTATTGCATCTGCGATTACGAAATCAAAAACACCCACGCAAAATTTAGCGAAAAAAAAGGTCGTTTTGCCTCCTGTAAAAGAAGATGATAAAGTAACAAGGACGTAAGTATTGATCGTATTTTCGTTGTCGATTTCTAGATCCATTGACGACGAAATTTGTTATGACAGGCTCTTTGTGTCCAACATTAAATGTGGAACCAAACTTCAAGAATTGAAAGAAGCTATTCCAGGATGTGTGACTGCCAAAATGTTGAAACCATATTCACAAAATTATAGGTACTTATTGTTTAATTGTGTCTTGCTATTTGAACATTTTTCTTACAGAGTAATATAAACATTTGAATCGTCTTTAGGGGTGCAATGGTAAAATTGGAAACTATACAAATGGCAGTAGAATATTTATCACAGATAAGAGACCTACCAGTAGTAAGGGGAGAAAAATTAATTTTTAAACCTGACACCAGAATTAAACGTACAAAACAAGATTCAAACACTACTCTTAAAATTTATGATGGTGAATCAGAAGTAAATAAAGACTCCAATGAAAAACTAAACAGTAAAACTTCAGATTGTTTTGTGCTTGAAAAGAAAGTGTAAATATTATTGTTCTATTAAATTTATTTTTTGCATATGTTTAATTTGATTATTCATTTGATACCTATGAACTATAACCCTACAGATGTATTTTTGTTTTTTTTTTTCCTATTATTGTATGTACTCTAATATTCCCCCAATTTTCGTATATGTTTTCTGATTTTTTATCAAATTATTTAACTGTTCAATGCCCAAATTTGAGCAAATCAATACCCATGACAGAACATAAAATTTTTCTCTTTGCTAACAATTGGAGCAAAGTCAGAATCTGACCTAATAATCATAAGTGCCCTGTATGATTTAGTTTGCAAATGAAGTACGAAAAAAATCTTCGTATAATAGAGGTAAATCTACATTTGTAAAAGCTACTGTAGCCTTTTATTTACGTGTATTCAGTGCTGTATAATTACATTTAACGAAACGTCCTGAAAAAGAAGATGACCTTATTTACTAATAACACATCTTTGTATTGAAAAATAACTGCAGTCAATAAAGCGATATTATAAAACGAGTCCTCGTGTGCGACATTATCTTGACGATGCAAAAAATGCGTTTACATTATTGAGTCATTGAAAACAGCCAGAGGAGTTCGTGACACGATACTATAAATATTCATGCGATTAATCGCACACATTTGCGTTTCTGAGAGATTGTGCAATATCAGTCGTGGATGCGTGCAATTCGATGCTAAAAAATGTTTATCTGTAGAAAGTGTATAGTAACAACAGACTTAGAAAAACTGTCGATAGATCAACGATCAAGGTAAAGCAGTGCAATCCCGTGTGGCAGTTGAATAATATTTTCCGTGAAAACAGTTCGAGAAGTTGCTCGAGTGAGTAATGTGGTGCAGAGAGCGTTCTCGCGAAGCAAGGTGTATCAAAACGCGGGGAAATATTAAGTTTCACAGACGAAGCAGAAGTGTCGTCGAATTTCTCCCAAGTTCCACGCGATGCCTACGTAGTGAATCTCAAGAAGCTAATATTGAAAGGTTGTTCAGAATTGGACAATATCTATTTATCGCATTAATTCAATATTTAATCGTTTCGGACGCAGAGATAATTTCGAAAGCCATGTCAAATAGCGCAACGTGACGCGATAGCGCTTCTCCTGCTTTTTATCGAAGAATGGCAGCAGCGTAATCGCGCTGCTTAATACTCGAACAGTTAACATATTAATTAAACAATCAGTGCTGTGACTAGTTCGCGAATTTTTAAATTGTTAAAAAAGTTGTCCTGTAAAAATATCATGGCTCCAATGAGCGAATTCCGCCCATCAGTATTCTCTTTGATAATAGTGTAACTCTAGGTAAGTTTCTCATTACTAAAAGTACGCCCACGTATCACTATAGTATCTCCATTGCAAAAACTACCGTTAGTTTGATCATTTTAATTTTAAGGAAGCCCACGCGCAATGTAATTGCGCTTAGTTTTTACTGGCATCGCGTAAGCTTTGCGATAAGCTACGCTCCTTGATAGAGTATTGATTTGCAATAAAAAAGAATGCGTGCTTTTAATAAATTTAATCGAAGCGGGAGAAACGGCTCGAAAGCTTTATTGGTCGACCGCTAGGTAGCGTGATAACCTTGATCGGTAGTTTTGTTTAGATTTGCACAAGTATAGCGACGGTGCTCCAGCACACATACGCACACCAGTGCAACGAGTCAAACATCTCTCGAGACCTCCGCGTGAAGGAACCAATAAGCGATTTGCCAGTCTAATCGTTCCAACGTCATTGCATAACTCGCGTTGCTTTTTAAACCAATTATTTAATGCGCTGCGTGCAATGATTTTGCACTTGGAGGCGTTTACCGATCGATGTCACGCGTGTGTGGTGACGCCGACCGAAAATGCCTACGGGCGCAATAACGCCGGCGAATTCTTCGAATTGGATGTACGTCAGAACTAACCTAAATAAAAAAAGCCCCTTTACTGTGACGTTCTAACAAGGAAAATAAATTGTCCTAAATAAGTATGAACCATCGTTCGATGTCGTTTCATCGAACTTCGACTTCGATATGTTCGACGTTGTCGCTTTTCTTGTGCAACGTCCGTGATAATTCACGTATAGGTTAACTCACGACAGGCGTCCATCGACCGTTTACAATCTGTCATTTAGATTCGACATTTTGTAAATGATAATGTAATTGTATAAATAGAAATATAGAGGTGAAGTTTCTGCGAATGTAGCACGTCTTTTGCCATGTATTTTATAATGATCAGACCTCTTAAAACGTTCCTGTTGATAGTGAATATCGAATATCGAATATTTCGAATTCAAAGGTAACTAAACACACATTTCATTTTTCTGGTTTCGATAGTCCTTCTAAAGATAAGTAACGTAAACAGTATATATAAACATAATAGCGATAGAAGTGACAATTTTTTTTTTAGTGGTGATAGATTACAAAGTTGTGTAGTTGCCAAACCTCGTATTAGTAATATATATCAAATATTTGTTACATGTGTTTATTTTGTTCCAGCAAACTTTAGGAATGAAATTAATTCCATTTTAGAATAATTTTTGATTTATATATCTACAAATAAAATCGAACAAATAAGAACTTGATTACCATGCATTTATGATTAAATGCATCTGTTCTAAGTGTGAGAAATAATGTCTAAATTTAATGTATATTTGTGTATAACCTGACTGCATTAAGAATGCAAGCCAAGAAGCGCTATTTATTATTATTTGTAACGTGCGCATTTCTTGGTTACTGTTACTTTGGTGGTTACCGATTAAAAAGTGAAAAGTGGCCAGGCAGATCTCAGTTGCCTTACGAGCGATTGCCTTCATATTTAAGTCTAAACGAGGAATTCTATGACAAGGATTTAAGGACATCAAATGGAAACTCCCTTATGTCTCAACGTACAAAACAATGCCGTATGGAGACTTGTTTTGACTTTACCAGATGCAAGCAAGGTTTCACAGTGTATGTTTACCCAGTTGAAGATGTGATAAGCCCACTATACCAAAAAATATTAAATGTTATTACGGAATCAAGATATTATACTTCAGATCCAACTCGAGCATGTATATTTGTATTAGCTTTGGACACATTGGATAGGGATCCATTGTCAACAGAATTTGTGCATAATCTTCCTGCAAAATTAATGCGTTTACCATATTGGAACAACGGAAGAAATCATTTAATATTTAATTTGTATTCTGGAACATGGCCTGATTATGCAGAAGAGTCATTAGCCTTTGATTTAGGATATGCTATGCTCGCGAAAGCTAGCATGTCTGTCTTCAGGCATAGACCAAACTTTGATATATCTATACCATTATTTGGGAAACAACATGCAGAACGCGGCGGAGAACCAGGCCAAGCTATAGAAAATAACTTTCCTAATAATAAAAAATACGTCGCAGCTTTCAAGGGTAAAAGATACGTCCATGGCATAGGTTCTGAGACTAGAAATGCTCTCTATCATTTACATAACGGCAAAGACTTGGTGTTTGTCACAACTTGTCGTCATGGTAAAGCATGGAGAGAATTACAAGACGAACACTGTCAACAGGATAATCAGGAATATGATATGTTAGTATGAGTTTTTCGGATATAATACTTTTTTTCAGTCAAGATGTAGAACTTAATGTATGATGTGTTACTTCAGGTACGATTATGAAATTTTATTAATGAATTCTACCTTTTGTCTCGTACCACGAGGAAGAAGACTTGGTAGTTTTCGTTTTTTAGAAGCTTTAAGGGCTGGATGCATTCCAGTTATTCTAAGCAATGGCTGGGCACTTCCTTTCCATGAACGTATCGATTGGACACAAGCCGTTATATTTTCTGACGAAAGACTGTTACTTCAAGTAATTGATACTAATTTATATCTTTTTAAAATAAAAAATAAAATTTTAATATAATTAAACTTCATTCTTTCAGATTCCAGACATAGTGCGGTCTGTGTCCAATGTACAGATACTTAAATTACGGCAGCAGACGCAATTCCTTTGGGAACGATACTTTTCCTCGATAGAAAAAATCGTATTTACAGTATTCGAGGTAATTGCTTAAAGCGATGAACTAGATAGGAAATTTCTGTCGCCGCCATTTTCTAAGTTTCGATATTAAACTTTTAGAATATTCGGGAGCGTTTACCATGGGAAGGTACTAGGGAGAAACTTGTCTGGAATACTAGTCCTGGAGCATTAGCGATATTACCGCAATTTGCTGATAGTCAACAAGAACTTCCTTTTTCAAATAGTAATCCAGGTAATACCTTCACTGCCATCATCTATTCGCAGTTGGGATCTACTGCAGTTCTTTATCGTCTGCTTAAAAGCGTCGCAAAAAGTAAATACCTAGATAAGGTAAGATAATAACAGCTTTGTCTTTTTTCATTTTTTATGGCCATCGCGGATAGATGATAAGTACGACGTTGCGTTTCAGATTATTCTAATGTGGAATTCAGATATTCCATTACCAAGAAGGCCACGTTGGCAAGGGATCAAAGCGTCAATACACGTCGTTACGGTCGACGGTATATCCCAACGTTTCTATCCTCATCCGTTAATCAAAACTAGTGCCATATTATCGCTAGACGAAGATGCCACGCTCAATACCGACGAAATTGATTTCGCCTTTACGGTTTGGCGATCGTTTCCTGATCGAATAGTTGGCTACCCAGCAAGATCGCATTATTGGGACGATTCTAAAGTAAGTGGATTTTCAAACCTATTTTTTCCTCGAACATTTATCCTCGTTTATTTACTATTTACGTATTTCATAAATGTTTAAAGCGTTCGTGGGGCTACACAAGCAAATGGACAAATGATTATAGTATAATTCTAACTGGTGCCGCCTTTTATCATCGTTATTATAATACGTTGTACACCGAATTACTAAGCTCGACACTTCATAAGACTGTTGAACAGTCGCAAAATTGCGAAGACATACTTATGAATTTTTTAGTAAGTCACGTCACTCGAAGACCACCTATTAAAGTGACGCAACGGAAATTGTATAAAGATACTACAGTGGCTGGAATCAGGTATGTGTCTGCTTACCTTTATTTGAGTCTACGCAGGTATATATCCTTCGAACGATTTTTGGCGCCCACCGCCATTTTCTCCTAGACGATCGTACGATTTTCTTTGCCCTCTTCGATAATGCGATATTTCGCGTCGTCGGCAACTTGGTCACACATTTTTCTCACATTTGTTACAAAATTATCAAATAACTTGTTCAAAATTAATAAAAAGAAACGTCACTTATGAATTATTCACAATCACCATTTTGCAATATTTCACGATGCTCACGATTAACCGAATCGAGATCTAAATTGATATCGTTATTTCGATAATCGAAATTCAGTTTGTCCGTTAATACCAGAACTCTCCGCTAGTAGATCGAACTGATGTCGTCGACGTTCATATCCCGCCAAAACTTTATCAGTAATTATACGATTTTCAGTTCTTTGAATTTTCCGCGATACGTGCGTGATAATCGATGGTTATTAATTGTTACATTGAGTAGTGTACATATTATAATACAGTGATTTCTTTCGTAAGTTGTTATACACGATTTCGACAACGTTCCAAATGCGCTACAGCGCCACGACAATATGGTGAGTCGTTCTATTCGAATTTTACAAAATTGAAACAGTTTCTTACCAATATTTGAAAGTATTCGAGAGACGAAATAATGTATCGATAACTATTATAGCCATTCTACTACTAGTTTTTCCCCGTGGCTTTATCTGCGTGAATATCGGTTTACAAGAGCTTGTAAAATTTTCTTGCAACGCTATCGCGATCAAAATTATATCGAAATGTTTGTCCGGTATCGAGTTATGGCAAGTGCTATCAGTAGCAACTAATACCTTTTTATTCTTCACTAATACGACCAAATTTTCACTCAACCTGTCTTCGACCATAAATGCCTCTATCTTACCGACTGGAATCGCCCTATTACCTACATCCTTAGAAACGCCATACCTGCGTAGCGGAGTATTTTGTTCGCGGGCCACCGGTGCTCGATTATTTAACGTCTGTGCTCGACAATAATTTTCAGATCCCCTTGGAACGATCCAGATCACTTTATTCAACGGCAGACGTGCATGAATACGTTCGTGGCCGTTTTCGGTTACATGCCGTTGTTGCGATCAAATATGAGGCTCGACCCTGTTCTGTTCAAAGACCCTGTAAGCAACTTGCGCAAGAAATATAGGCAAATTGAACTAGTTAGTAATTAGTATTATACAGGACATTTTATCAGTTACGCAGTTATCTACTCTTGAGACGAGCAACCTATATAGTCTCGAAACATTTCGAAACGTTAGTGGCGCAAATTGCTGTTACGGTCGCGTGTGCATGCTCGGGCTATTCTAACCTATATAGGGAACACTCGCAACGTTGCTGTTAACGCGCCATTGTGTGTTGTCGATGGTTGTCGGGCAACGAATCGAGACGGTCTTTCATTTGCGAGAAAACGACGATACTCTGCGCTTTTATGTATTCGCAAATGAATTTTGTACAAAAATAACAATAGGAGCAACCTATGATATTGTTCGAGTTCGAATCGAGCCACGGGACACGCATCTCGTCGTTGCGATCGCCGTAATCAATTGATGTACATACGAATCGTTTCATAGTTATTAATAAAACGAGCAAAAATAAAACAAAAAAGAAATAACAAAAAAAAAAAAAAAAAGAAATGAAGGAAAATTATTTGACGAGTTCTTCGACTTTAAAAACCGGCCTTTTTGAAGCTATGCGAGGTACTCCAATTCGTAGTCAATTGATCGCTCGAACACCGAATTCGCCGGAACGCTTACGTCTTTTTTTTTTCTTTTTTTTTTTCTTCCCACTGTCGTTACCGATATCTTAAGCCTCAGGGATGGATCTTTTCGCGATCCTGAGTCTTTATTTTTGCATTTCTAAGTTTTATTACGCTCCCGATCGAATGGTTGAAATAAAAAAAAATTTATCGATCAACGTAAGTCATGGCCATCGATACACGTATTATTTATCTCGGGTAAGTTTCTTCAAACGAATCAGTGTTCTTCGGGTTTTGGGTAAATTTTATTCGCGAATAACGAATAGAAATTCGCGATCTATTACGAACGCTGATAATGAATAATGATTTTTAATATTTTTTGATCGTTGTCCGCGAATAAAATTCGCTCGACGTGTTCTTTCCTCGATCTGTGTTCGTCGTCGCGTCGAGCTCGAGTACACGCGCGTAAGGAAATATCACTTTTGTTTCTCAACACGTGTACGTTCGCAGTTTCGCCGCGCATTCGGAGCGCAGATTATTCGTAAGTTGTAATCATATACGTAGAAGGTATTCCAAGGTTTTTACGTATGTATCTCTGTGTAAGAAAACCGCGTGCGTTTAACGTTTATGTTCGTTTCGCGGGCACGAATGGGTCCCGATCGATTCTTGTGCATTTCGTCGGTTCCGTTCGCGTTCTAACGAGCTCTCGGGTGACCGTTCGAGAGGAAGTAAGAAATTACTTGTGACAATATCGCAAGTACGTCTAGTCGTTCATGTTCGTTTACATTGGTACGCCCGAAGGAAAAGCAAACGATTATGGTGAAAGAAAATAAAAAAAACCCGATGCCGTGTATTTGTGTTTTCCACGACATATACAAAGGAAATAATATGTACATATATATATGTATATGTGATACGTTTATAATTATTATGTGATATATTCGTAATCATCGGAGACAGGATTCAAAAGGATTTTGTAATTCCAACAATGGCATTTCTTCTGTCGCGAAAACGTTGCGCGTTATAATAATATATGTTTACGAGATATATTATATTTTTTATCGTATCGCTGATTTCGCTATTCGAAGGGTCAGCAGGAACGAAGAATCGTTCGTTTCGAATCAATTCCCCCGTTCTCAACCGTGGAATGTTCTTCGCTCGTTACGCGAGATTACGGTATACGCATAGAATTATTTTTTCACTTTGTAATACTTCGTTATCGATAGCTTACTTTTTCTTTTATTTCTTATTTTTTTTCGTACATTAATTAGCGAATAGCAGCGAGAATGTATTTGCTTCTTTTTTCCTGCAAACTCTTCGCCCCCCCTTGAATGTAATTACGTACGGGACTGTGCAAAAACGATCGCTTTTGCATTGAACAAAGGTACTCGCGATAGTGTCGCGTTTGTTACGGTACCAAAAACATTATATTTAATTTTAACAGAAGGATATTTTAACATTGACGTAGACGGTTTGGACATTATTTAGCGAATCGATGGTTTTCATTAATTCGAAGCTGATCGTCGATGTAATCTTGTTGCGTCAGAATAACATGTATTTGAACAAATATGAATGATTTTATATGGCCGAGAAAATAAAGTTTTTATACAAACCCACGATCCACCTTCTCGCCGGAACAGTATCTTTTAACTTATTATTATGCATAACTTTGTGGTCCAATTATAATGGATATTTTAATTTTATTTATTGGCCTGCATCCTTGTTTAATTATTCAAATTCTAATTTTTTAGATATTTTAATTATGTAATATTCTGCTTCTAACGTTAATGATTTATTGCATTTTTTTTATAATTTTTTATATTGCTATATCCTCCATTTTCCTTACTATTCGTTGAATTCATTTTTCTGTTCTTTTTTGAAGTTTGATTCCGTAAGGATGTTCAGTGCATCTATTCGTGTCTTTTTTTTTAAATATAGAATTTAGGCTATTCTGTTGGCCAAAGACACTTCCTACGAAGGTAAGCAACTGCACATTACTGGAATGCAGAAACAACCATAACTCAGGAACAAGGTCAAGCAGGGCACCACGTCCGTGTCAACTTTTTTTCATGGTTTCTGTGTCCCCGATTCATTGTAACAAGTCCCACATATTAGAACGCATCCTGCACATTTTTATAATTCTGTTTCAGATCCTATAACCGAAATCCAAAACCCAGACCAACGATGTCGAATCCCAAAAATATTCCCGATTTTCCAAAGTCATCAACTAGTTCCAACAAAACGTAATAAGTTCAAAAACACTGAAAAATTATTATATCCTAGAAATTAGAATACATTCTACAGATTTTTATAATTTCCTTTCAGATCCTGCACCCGACCAATAACACAAAATCCAAAACCCAGACCAACGATGTCGAATCCCAAAAATATTCCCGATTTTCCAAATTCATCAACTAGTTCCAACAAAACGTAATAAGTTCAAAAACACTGAAAAATTATTATATCCTAGAAATTAGAATACATTCTACAGATTTTTATAATTTCCTTTCAGATCCTGCACCCGACCAATAACACAAAATCCAAAACCCAGACCAACGATGTCGAATCCCAAAAATATTCCCGATTTTCCAAAGTCATCAACTAGTTCCAACAAAACGTAATAAGTTCAAAAACACTGAAAAATTATTATATCCTAGAAATTAGAATACATTCTACAGATTTTTATAATTTCCTTTCAGATCCTGCACCCGACCAATAACACAAAATCCAAAACCCAGACCAACGATGTCGAATCGTAAAAATATTCCCGATTTTCCAAAGTCGCCAGCTAATTCTAACTAAACGTAAGTTAAGGGACAACGAAATATTTATTTCTCTCGTTAAACCGTGCAATAAAAATACAGAAAATAACGTGCAAATTTTCAGACCTCGAGGACGTTATCCAGCGATCTTGGAGCCCGGGGGACCACGGTCGAAGAGCCCCAACGGCGTTGGATAGCTCTCGACGCGATTTTCCATTCCGTAGAAGGGCTTTGACGATCCTAGAACCATCCCGGGTTGTCACACAATTCAGCGTAGTTTACGGGCGGTTCGCTGGTAACCCCATCGGTGTATTTCGTTCGGCGGGAGAAAGAGCAACTTTTCTCCGGTCGGCTGGTCACGTAAGCCGAGAATGGTTTCAGGGTTACCGATACGAGAAACTGGGTAAAAAATCTGATCGAAGGAAGGCGGATTTGGTCGCGGCGAGGCGGATCGGGGGATCGGGGGATCGGCGGTGCCGCGGGTACCACCACCATTGGGGCCCACCACCACCGGGCACGTTGTCCACCACCACTTCTGGCGATCGCGGAGCGCGAGAATGGTGGTGGCCACGCGGTACACCGACCAACACTCCCCTTCTTCTTTGTTGCTGGTTTGCTAGAAAGGTGACTATGCCAAGAAGACAGGAGGTATTGAGCACGCCTTGCGTATATCCAGTCACCTTTCTCTCTTCGTGACCGTAGCATATGTTTTGCGACGTCGATGGAGCTCTCGCGGCTTTGAACGGCGCCCACATCGAAGCCTTGCTGCTCTGCTCCTCTTCTCGCCCGCGGTTCCCTAACCCCGGATTTTTCACCGTGTTCTCCAACGTCCAGTACCCCAGAGAACTGTCCGTGGCTCACGCGTGATCCATAAAAACGCAACAACGCGAGAAACGAAAGGAAATCGCAGCGCCCGTACGCGTGCGATCTGCTGGATCTCAAAGGTTCGTTTATTTCGCGTCTCGTATGTGCGCGCATCCACCGACGTTCGAGTAAGCCCAGCGTACCGCCAGAACGGCTCACCTATCGACCTTGCAACCCTTTGGACCAGGATCCACGGAGAGGGAGACGAGAATGATCGTCGCTAGCACCGTGTTGCTCCTACTGGCGGCGGCGTCCACAGTGGGTGAGTGTCGATCGTTTTTATTATAATATTTTGCAACGCACGGGGACTTAGACCCTTTTTTACTCCCGGCGACAGGAATTTTAATTTTAAATCCAGCGAGACCGACGATCGTGCAACCGTGACATTCTCGTCGCCCGTGTGTGTTTTTTTCCCCCCCGTTCGTAGCCTGTTCGCGATACTCGTAGATCGCGAACGGAGTTTACGCGTTCGCTGGTTTCGCGCGGTTGTCTTTGAATCGCGAAGGTCGGTGAGGAAAACCGATCGCGGGCGGTGAACGGCTGCGCGCCACAGACCTGTATTCAAATATCTCGAATAGTTCGCGTTATATAACGTCGAGCAGCTTTGCCCGGGAAGAAAATCTCGAGTAAAATTATTTTTGAGAAATAGAAATGTTCGTGTATTTTACGAATACCATCGATATTTACGAGTTATTTGTATCGAGAAAACTCCAGGGTACTGATTGAGCGATTACAAAGACGATTTCGATCCGTAATATGACGAAACTTCGCCTCCTATCGAGGCGTCGCTATTGTTGATCGGGTGTGTGCCAACTACTCTGTTGCAAGAGTTATAAAAAAATCATCAATGTTGAAAGCAACGATGAATAGAGCCCGTATTGGAAAAGTCTGGATCCAATTTTTATTTAAGGGTCGAATTTCTAAAGCTTTGCAAGTATCGATCAAAATAGAGGCTATATTATTGAAAAAAATACCAATCGGTGGAAAATTTTCTCGATACCACGGAATAAATAATCCATAAATATTGATAGTATTTTACACTGCCATCTTACGTAGATATCACTTGCATATTTTGCATATTTTTCAAACCCGCGTCTACATTTCTCGCGCATAAGAATAGGCTAATTTCACGTTGCATGAATATCCTCTGCATATCTCGCGTGAACATCGACAGTCTAGAAACATTTACCATCGCGGTATCAAAATTTTATTACCCTGGATGGTTATTAGCAACGGTTGTTTAACGATTCAATTACAGTGGCGTAATTGAAACACCGATAACGTATGCAAACGAATCGAAAATTTTCTGCTCGGAAGCACTCGCGAATGGTTCGAGTGTACTCGAGGGGGTTCCTTTGTCTTTGGAATCGTTCGCAGGGGGCACGAGACTAATTGGTCGTGTTCTCAAAGGTGCTTGCAAGGCGTTTGATCCCATCGCTAGTGACCAAGGCGGCAAACCCGGCTGGTTCGTTCGCGTTAGCCGCGAAAATGTCAGTTTACGTAACGGCGTCGGGTCGTTGAATAACTGGTACACGCGGAAACGAAGCAAAACGCCTTTGGTCCCCGAGGGTGTGCCCCAAGGGTGCGCGGGAACCTCTTTTTTTCCGTCCCGCGGTCCCAAATACGGCGACACGCTTCCTCGAATAGACAGATCGGCTTAATTCGCGTGGACCGCTTTCGGTAAAAATCCGCTACTCGTTAGCGGTTCTTATCGAAAGGCATCGAGAACGCTCGATATCGCTTTGAATATCTTTTTAAGGGCCTTCCACGTTGCTCGAAAAAGAGCCAATTGGAATTTGTTTCCCCCCCTCGGCACCCCGGTGCATTAAAATGAAACTCGTGGTAATTATTTCCCGTGCAATTTACTCGAACGAAAGGCGTCGATAAGTTTGTTGGTATACAGGAGGGTTTTCTCTATTTTAACAAATACTCTATTGTTAATTGTTTCTAAGTAACTGGACTGGAAATTCATATTTTTGTTAATAGGATGAATGTTGACCACCGAATTGTGCTCAAAGCGAGGTTCATGGTAGGGAGAAATTCATTCTGTACCATGAGCATCCCCTAATTACAAATTTGGGGAAAGTTGACTTGCTCGTCGACCAACAATGGCATCTTTCTCCAATGTCCTCAAGTGACGTCTTCGTTTCGATGTGACACGCACCCCCTTCCAAGGGCATCGTTGCAAGGGTTGTCTTTCAGACAGTTCGTTCTACCATTCGAATCATCGAACATCATTCTGACTTCGTTCCAATACTCCAACCATCGTACATTACGCTCTCATCGATCTCACATTCTCACAACATTGGGAACTTGGTCGTATCATCATCGATCAAACACATCTTTCTGTAGCCTCTTAATTACGTCTAATAAACATTAGAAAATCAAATCTCAAGTCTCTCAAAACCCTTACATTCTCCACCCGGAGTATTCATTTATTATTGGAAGACAACCCCTAAATATAATAATTCGTATCTTACTTTAAGCATTTACTAAGTTTCGAGAAAATCTATTTGATCGTTCGAAGCACAGGAAAAAGTTTCTTTTGGGGTTCAGGTATTACGCAGTACTCGGTACCGACGATTTCAATCTAATTTCGTGGCCGTTAATTTTCGTCGATTCGCCGAGACGCCTCCTCTCGGGTTTTGCGGCCACCGTGGCTGTGAATTTCGCAAAGCGGTCGTTTCGCGAAACCCGCCCACCGTGTGGCCACGATTGCAAGAGTTTCTCTACCCGAGTTCGTCGTCGGAACTAGGTCCACTCGATCGTTCCTATTATTTATTTTTAATTATTTCACAGACACGATACCAATAGATACACTCGTAACTAGACTGCTAATTCATATTTTCAATTTCCTAACTCAGACCTGAACTATTCCAATAGATATAAGCTGGTAACTAGACTGCAAAATCATATTTTTAATTTCTTAACACAGATCTAACCCAAAGATAAACGATGGCAATAGATAAACTCGTAGCTGGACTGCAAATTCATATTTTTAATTTTCTAACCCAGGTCTAACCTAGACTTGTCCGATTCTAATTGATAAACTCATAACTAGAGTGCAAATTCATATTTTTAATTGCCTAACCCAGACCTAACTTAGACCTGAACGATACTACCAATAGATAAACTGGTAACTAGAATGTAAATTCATAGTTTTATTAATACAATCAATGAAACGGGAGCTTAGCAGAGGGTTGTTTTATCCCCTAAATATAACAATTCATATAATATTAACTGCAGTCTGTAGTTTTTCGAGAATTAAAATTCCCCATAAATGCATAACTGCATAATATAACCAGAGTAGAGTACTAAAAACCAGAGTATCCTTCTCCTGTAGAATTTGAGGTGTTCGATAAGCGAGAGTGGACGTCTCAATAATAAATCTCCGTGTTTTCTTGTTAAGGAAACAAAACCTGCGTCTTGAACAGATCCAAGGGGGTAGATTCCGTGGTAAAACGCGAGCCCAATCAGCGATCTATGCAACGGCGAACCTGTTGCGAGATCCGGTGGCCGATCGTGCCGAGGCTGTTCGCGATCGTATCGTTGCGAGCGTTCGATTTACGGAATCGAGTCTTAAGAACGGTTGGAAACGACGGTGATTCGGACAAAGGGGGTACGTTAACAGCATTGTAGTACATTTCGGTAACACGGCGGAAGAAACGATCGTTTTTGCGAAATTGTTCGCCGGAGGTGTTCTCCGGCGATCGGATAGAATCTGAGATCTGAAAGGAACGCGTCTGAAGCGCACATCCGACGATCGCTTCGGGCAATCCGCGAACAGTTGATAGACAGAACGATATTAAATTACACATCGGTTTGGAAATGCATTTATGGAAATTACGGAAATTCGTTCGCTCGATACGAAATGCAACGATTTCCTTGGAGACTCGTGATCGTTCGAGCAACGAGAACTATTTTAATAGAAATAGATCGATCAGTGTATTCTGGATCAGGATCAATCTCGGGGATTGAGAAAGGTCCAGGTCACTGACGCGAGAGTCCCACGTCCTTTAGTCGCGAAGTGTAGAAATCCTCGATGCACCGAAGGAAACTTCTATTTTATGTAATAAGTAACACATCTGGTAGCTAGACGTGCCATTAAGGCTCATCAGCAGACCCTGTCTTCGACGCAACGCTATTAATCATTCGAACAGTCGTCTATCAATCGATAGTTTATAACCACGTAATTCGTTGTAACGGACTGCCCGAACGATTGCTAATGTCGCGTTTATGGCAGGCTCTGAATCGTTGCTGAATCCAGCTGGGCAAATCTAGAACGAGACACGGGCGATATCGATCCCTGTATCAACAATATTACTCGTTACTTAATCGTAAACTGACTGGACAAATATTTCTTAATTGTCGTCTTTAAATTTTGTAAACAATAATTAAGCTTATTAAGAATTCAGAAACTTCCGTTTGAAGTCCTCTTAGGTACTGCAAGTAAAAGCATTTTCAAAGAAAATTAAAAATTGAGAATATTTTTTTTCATGCATCGATGGAACTTGAAAAGTCGAAGACCCTATAAACCAGAATTCTTTTTAAGCCCTTCTATCAACAATAGAACTACCAAAATGGTCAAAACGACCCACTAATAATTTCTAATAAAAATTACAAAAAATCAACTCGATTGGATTTTTGCAACCCGCGATTTTCTATAAAGAGAACAAAGAAATTTCCTTGGTAGAAATAGATATACATGTCCAGATAAATTCAGGAAAAATTCGTAAAGAATTACGATAAATGGAACAACCCCGTTAATAAGAATAAAATATTACGAGTTCAGGGACCTCTATCATGTTCGCGGGTGCCAGTTTGCGAAACGCTAGGATGTTAAATGAATATTCGAGTCCGTTAATTATTTTGTAATGGTTTCTCGGATTCATTTCGCTCTCGATAATAACGTGCGTCAGCCAAAGTTCCGAGAAACTGTTGAGATCTCCATCGCGGTGCTTAGTTGGCCGTTTAATCGAATCGTGTTATTGCAACGATGACGAGCGGTTACGTGTAATTTAGTTGCAACCGTGGGCATTCTCTGGCAGACCGAGAGGCAGCTAGTACGCGCAGGAATCCGACCTTCGACGATGGTTTCGATATTTTCTACCCTGTAGAAATCCACCGCTACGCGGCTCGAGGACGATATCCGTGAAAACAGCTGTGCGGTGGCCACGTGCCCGCGCAACGGGTATTCAAATTTATTCGATCCTCGTCCTTCCGCTGGTTCTCGTCCCGGCATAAATCGTGTTCGAATTAGAA